CTGGCGTATTGCTCACGTTCGCTGGCTTACACGCCAGGCGGACCTCGCTGTGACGAGTGAGACTTCTGCAGCCTAGTGTAGCCATTGTTCTGTCTGGCGTGTTGCCCGCAGTGCGCGGTTCACACGACCAGCGGGGTTCCTGTCATTGCTCGAGTGGGGCAGCTTCTCGGCTCTGACTCCAGCAGCAGTGCGTATTGCCCATGCTTCCCCGGTTTACGCGCCAGCCGGACCCCGCTGTGTCTGATGGTCAGCCAGCGAGTGAGTGTTTTTTCAGCCTGTAGCGCCAGGCTCCCTGCAAGCGGTTTGCCGGTTACACGGTAGCTGTACCTCGCTGTGTCTGATACACCAGCCAGTGAGTGTGTTGCGTTCCAGCCTGTGGCGCCAGCTTTGCATGAGTGTCTCGTCCCTGAGTTCACTCTTGCGGCTCCCCTGTCTACAGATGGATGCCTGGCCCTGGGGCGACCTGCGACTCACGTCCCTGGCTTGGCCCTCCGCTCTGGCAGCTGCTGTGTTCCCCTGGCGTGTTGCCTGCATTCGCCGGCTTACGTGCCAGTCGGACCTTGCTGTGTCTGATATGTCAGCCAGCGAGTGTGTGTTCTCCAGCTTCTTTAGCCAGTCTCTTCTGGGATATGAGCTCCTGTGGCTGCAGGCTGTGTTCCCCAGCGTCTAACCCTAACCCTTTGTGTCTGACCTCGAGTGTCTCGTTTACGAGTTCACTCTTGAGGCTTCACTTCGCCAGCCGTCGGACCTTGCTGTGGCGAGTGAGAGTTCTCCAGCCTGTAGCGCCGACTCTCTTGGTTCTCTTCGAGAGAGATTATCTCTCCACCATCAGGCCGCACGGAAATGCGTTCCGATCAAATTATTACCGGTGTCACGTCTGCACAGCTGCTTTATATGTGAGCTGTGGGGCGTGGCCAGGCGAGACGGACTGTCTTAAAGAAGTATCCACACGCCACGGTGCATGGTTCAAGTGCACTGCAGACCATTTCCTGTGTATCATTCCTCCTCAGTCACTCTGCAATCCCATCTGTGTCCCTAAATTGGATAAGTGGAAGAAGATGGATGGATGGAAGTTCCACAGGTTTTGTTAGTTGTCTAAAATTCTAAAGCAGTTACATGAGGGTGTTTTAGCCTACTATAGACCAGTTTTCAGCATTTCTTTCAAAAATTGAATTATTGATTTGATCATTGATACAGGAACGGCTCTAATTGAAGCTTTTAATCAGGATTTAGACTTCATCATAGCACATCAATCCACCTGAAGGTGGAAGCAATCCCATTCAGCTTGTCCTGCAGCAGAACTGGGCTAATGATATTAAAAGCTGAACTGTAGACCACAAAAAGTAGCTTGGCACAAGTTCCTGCACAGTTCAAATGTTGGATGAAGTGCAGTGCATTGATAGCACTTTCTGTTACAGCTCTGTAATAAAGGGATAATAGTAGGGTAACAAGGAAGAAATATGAACATAATAATGTTCTTACCCATGGTAGTTTCTATGTAACAAGCAGGAAACAGAGCTACAAAATACAAAACTGCTTGTTTCCATTTGATAAGATATTAATAACCTATTAATGCTAACTTAAAAAACTGACCATTACCTGGAAATATCTCTGGTAGTTTCTATGTAATAAGCAGGAAACAGCTGCAAAATGCAAAACAGATTGTTTCTATGTAATAACCTATTAATAACCAGGTGATAACCTTTTAAAACACACTTAAAGAATTGTAATGAGTACCACAAAACACCTGTGGCGGTTTTCGGTAATAAGCAGGAATTTAAAACTATTGTCATGATGGGTAAAGTAAAGTAAAAGTAAGTAAAATTTTATTGATAAAATTTCAAGATAAAAATCACAAAGTGCTTGCTCATAGGGGGGTCATATGGATCATAAGGGAAGCATGAAAAATGTAAACAGAATTGGTAGAACTCCATAACTGACCATAGTGTGTGAAGAGGACTCTTCATTTTCATGGAAAAACTGGAGTCTATTAGATAGATATGATGCAAACCACTGCAGCGCAGTACGTGTAATACCTACAGCGTTCTCTAATCGCTCTAATAGAATATTATGGTCAACAGTATCGAACGCTGAAATGAGGTCTAGCAGGACAAGCACAGAGATAAGTCCACTGCCAGAGGCCGTAAGAAGATCATTTGTAACTAGCGATGGGTATCGTTTAGGTTTTATCCGATACCGGTGCCAAACCGGTACTTTTGAAACAGTGCTTAAATGGTGCTCGAAGCGGTGCTTAAACAATGGAAAACACAAACTTTGTCCTAAAACCTCTCATGTTTAGCTGTTCTTTTTTTTGTAAAAAGATAACAATGTTAGCCTTTTCTTCAGCTATAGGCCATATATGGTTTCACTCTATCCA